ACAGCTCTGGTAGAGTCGTCAGCCTGGGACCAAGACCGCGAGCTACTGAAAGATCTCTACTATCAGGACGACAGGAGATTAGACGGCTCGAACCTCCTACTGTCCGAAGCAATCGCACAGGAAAGTCATCCAGCCCAGCAAGACAAGCTGAAACTAGCGTCAAAGTACCTCCAAGATTCACGCGACAGCGCGGCCGTCTTCCAGCGTCAAGCTATAGACGATGCTGCCAAATTGCTCCGTCTCCAACACCAGTTCGAAACAGACCTCAACGGACCGAGAGACCCAACACCCGCAGGCTCACTACCAGGCCAAACATACATCGGCCTCTCAGCGAACGAGACAATCTTCCAACTCATCCGCCAAGGCCACTACAAGCGCGCCCAAAAGGTGCAGTCAGAGTTCAAAATCAACGACAAAACATACACATACATCCGCCTCCGCGCCCTCGTCGCAGCGCGGCACTGGAACGAGCTCGAGGAATTCGCAAAGCAAAAGAAGAGCCCGATCGGCTGGGAGCCCTTCTTCAATGAGGTTCTCGGTGCGGGGAATACTAGAGTGGCGAGTGTGTTTATCCCCAAGTGCACGACGCTGACGGTACCGGAGAGGGTCGATATGTGGATCAAGTGTGGGTTGATGGTTAAGGCGGGTGAGGAGGCGTTTAAGGCCAAGGATAGGGAGCTGTTGCAGGAGATTAGGGATAAGGCTGATGGGAGTACGGCGATGGAATTGGAGAGGCTGTTGGGGATGTTGCCGCAGGGCAAGAGGTAGGCGGTTGGGTTTGTGGGTGGGTTTGTGGGTGGGTTAAGTAAACGAATGGCGCAGTGGTGGATATGAATATGGGCTGGTGTATAGTAATCGTTCACGTGTATCAAGTCTGGATTGGTGCTGATATGTAACCCTGCACAAAGCGCGATATACTCTTGACCAGCTCCTCTTCTCAGCTGGCGACAGCAAGTGTTGTAAGAAATCTGTCTTTATACGGATAACTTAGAAGGTTACATTAAGCTGGGTATATAAGCAGGTGAGCGTCATGAAACAGGTAGAAGGCTACATTCGGTTAAATGTATAGACAAATGGATATTATCAAACAGGTAGGAGGATACAATGCCCATGAGCTCTCTAAACTTTCTTCCTGTATCTTATTGTAGACTGTAGTATACCAGAAGCTTTATTGTTTCTGCTCGATATTCTGATTGTATGCGGCAAGATCCACTTGCAAAACCCATTATCTAGCCTGCTCCTTCTCGTTCTCAAGCTCCCTTTCCAAGACATCGGGACGTGGAGGCAGGCACACCCGGCAAATCCCCGGGCCGCTACTTCTTCGGGGGAAAATCCACACTAGCGTCAGCCATGTGCAGAAGACCGACCCGCAGTGGCTGCGAAAACGACTCGCTTCCCCGCAATGACTAGGATGGCTACCGGGGCTAGGTGCAGGCTCCGCGATCTAATGAGGAATTTGTCGCTCGACGTCGTCATCTCGGTGTGTACTCATCCGAACAGCCTCCAGATCTTCGAAACCGGCAAATGAGTGTGGGAATCGAAAACGGGGTCATGGGTTTGGCTATTGTGCCGGAAGGTAGCGGGAGGGAAAGGTACATAAGCCTTGGATGTCAAGAGCTTGAATGGTTGTAGGATTGGACATTTTGGACCTATTCGCCATACACGCAAACATGAGGTTCTCCAACTCTCTAGTCAGTCTCGCGGCTGTCGTACCAGTCGCGCTCGCATCAATACCTTACTCGCAATACATCCTCGCGCCTAAATCACGAACCCTCCACCCCGTCTCCGTGCACAGCACCAATGGATCCGTCACTCACCCCGAGAGCCTCACCAGCGCAAATGGCAGTTCCGTCTTCACCGGCGAAGCAGCAACAGCGTACGACTTCGGTATCAACATCGCGGGTCTCGTCACCGTAACGATCGGCTCCGTCAACTCGTCCTCCGACGAATACATCGGCGTTACCTTCTCCGAGAGCTCGTTATGGGTCAGCAACCGGAGCAGCGATGCGACGGCCGATGCGGGCAAAGATGAGACGCTATGGTTCCATGTTAATGGTACGGGACGGTATACAGCACCTAAGGAGAAGGTGAGGGGTGGGTTCAGGTATATGACGTTGGTGCATAATGGGACGGGGAGTGTGGAGGTAACGAGCGCGGAGGTGCATTATACCGCTATGCCGCATTGGGAGGGGGATGCTTTGGGGAACTATACGGGGTATTTCCACTGCGACGGTATGTCATTCATTCATTGCTTGCTTCTGTCGCTTAGGTAGAAAGACTAACATATTGCAGATGAGCTGCTCAATCGCGTATGGTATGCCGGAGCGTACACGAACCAGATCTGTACTATCGAGCCAGATACCGGGAATGCGCTTGTTCATCTGCGCGAAGAAGGGTTCTCGAGTGAGGACGACCAGTCGCCGGTTAATGTTACTTGGTACAACAACTATACCATTACTAGTGGCAAGAGTGCGCTGGTTGATGGTGCGAAGCGGGACAGGCTTGTTTGGGCTGGCGGTACGTTGATACATCTCCCATCACCGAGTACATGCTGACAGACATTGGTAGACATGGCGATAGCAGTCCCTGGTGTCGTGGTCTCGACGAACGATGTCATTTCCATTGAGAATGCATTGGACTCGCTCTTCGCGGTACAGAACGCGTCGAATGGTCTACTCCCATATGCTGGAAGGCCTTTCCCTCCCCAGGCGATATCGTTCACGTATCACCTCTACACCCTGATCGGTGTCGCTGACCACTTCCTTTACACTGTAAGACAATCCGATCAAATCCTTCACACTCGCTGACCACTTCTCCAGGGCGACATGGACTACCTCAAATCTCTATGGGACAAATACAAATTCGCCCTCTCCTTCTCCCTCTCCAACATCGACTCCAGCGGCCTCATGAACGTGACTGCGCCCAACGACTGGCTGCGCTTCGGCATGGGCGGCCACAACATCGAAGCAAACGCCATCCTCTACTACACCATCAATCAAGGCATCTACCTCGCCTCCGCTCTGAACGACACTGCCAACATCTCTTCCTGGCAAGAGACCGCTGATGGTATCAAGACGGCCGCCAATGAACTCCTCTGGGACGAACAAGAGGGCATGTACCGCGACAACGAGACGACAACGCTCATGCCCCAAGACGGAAACGCCTGGGCAGTCGTCGCAAACCTCACATTGAACAGCACGCAAACGAGTATGATCTCACAGAATCTGGTTTCACGATGGACGCCATACGGAGCACCTGCCCCCGAAGCTGCAGACGCCATCTCACCCTTCATCTCTGGCTTCGAACTGCAATCACACTTCCTCGCGCAGAACACGACCGCAGCATTGGAGTTGATGCGTCTACAATGGGGTTTCATGCTCGACGACCCCCGCATGACAAACTCCACTTTCATCGAAGGATACAGCACGACCGGCGAACTCCACTACGCGCCCTACAACAACGACGCGCGCATCAGCCACGCACACGGATGGGCAACAGGACCTACATCCAGCCTCACACAATACGTCGCCGGTGTACAGTTACTCACTGCCGGCGGAGCAACATGGCGTATTGCGCCTTCACTCGGTGACCTCAAGTTTGCAGATGCGGGCTTCAGAACGAGTTTGGGCTTCTTTGGCGCGAGGACGCAGGTTTTGGATGATAGTATTATGATGGAATTTGAGGCGCCGGAGGGGACGGTGGGAGAGGTTAGGATGCCGGTGATGGAATGTGCGGGACGGGTGGTATTGAGTGGAATGGAAGGGTTGAGTGGGGATGTTGTTGTTGAGGTTATGGCTGGGCAGGGGGATGTGGATGTCAAGGACGTCAAGGGTGGGAGATGGTCGGCTACGTTTAGGTGTAGCTGAAGAGTAGACGGATAAAGATCGTTGAATGTCTAACGAGTAATTGAATCGCTATAGTATGTTTGTGGTCGGTGCCACGATACGCGGCTCACATCTCCAACTACCCTGGTGTAATCCCATATTGATACGGACCAGACTCCGTGAACACGAGAGGTTTGCTTCTCCTCGGCTTCAGCAAGGCGCAAAGCAGGTTGCGAAAGGCCCGTACACGAACTGCGTTAGAGCGCAGGAACTACTACACGCGCCTATATGAGGTCGACATAGCAACGGGTATGGAAAAGAAATCTCATCTGCCGCTTCCCGGCAGAGCTGAGGACGGTGCAGGATGATTTTCTGGGTCCGGACTATCAGCGGATAAGAAACAGGGAACCATCGGCCCACTACTACCAGAGTCCTTCACCAACAGAAATCCTTCACGATGGCATGTTGGACACAGACTCAGTACAGTAAGCCGGATAGTTATTCGTCGAGCATTGGACATGTTTCTCTTGGGTAGTGGTGTCCTGTCAAAGTCTAAAAGCGACCAGGCGGCCAGGCAACGAGGCAACAAGTGTCGAGTAGTCCAGGTCAGCATATAGCACGGGTATAACCAGCTGGGAATGTAGCAAATACCGGTCATGTTGACATGCAGATTACCAGTATGATCCATGCTGTACCGCCTACCCCGCGCGTCTGAGTGGCGGAGGGCGATCGTGTGAAACGAGGCGTTCTCGTGATGGCGCGCTACAGCGACGCGCCCGGGACGTCGCTGTGCCAACGGCATCCTTGGCGCATTGTTCCAAAATAGTGTTGCGCAAACCACTATGACCACCCGCTTGACTCTGATCTGCGGCCCATCCCCAGCATTGCATCACTTGCGTCTTGTGTATACACATCTCGAGCATTGCTTCCTTGCACCGGCCTGGCATACAAGAAGACTGCTGTTTGAGCCGTCCCCTCGTTTTACGCCTTCTCCTCCTGCTCGGCCTTTTGCGACCGCCTGCATCTCGCTTCCCCACTACTATCCACTACCACGTCAGAGTCAGGACTCATCACACCGCATCCCATTGCTCGCGCAAAGTTTCTCCGCCCCACTGGACGCGGTCACATTGCATGCGCGTTTGAGCCTCGCATCTCGCTGGCGGGTCTGCAGCCACCATGGACACGAGCTACCTCGCCCAGCAGGTCACCACCATCATCGGCCAGCTGCACGGCTTGTTCGACGACATTGGCGTCTCCAGCCATGAGCGCGACACGCGTGAAGCAGAGGTGAGGAAAGATGAAGTGCATGCGCGCGCGATTGCTGACTTGTGTAGTTGTTCTCTGCTCTGTCCGAGACGCTCCACAACCAATTGCGACAGGTCACCAACGAGAAACATGAGATGACTGAAGAGGCGCATCGCCTGCTCAAGACTATCCGGCAGATGGAGGCTTCGCTCGATGACAACAGGCCCAACCCCAACTACGACGACCAGGACGACCGGGCCATCACCTTCCCCTTGACGCGCTGCCTCCAGGGCCTGAAGGAGCGATACAACTCGGTCAGCAAGATGCATAAGGAGCGCTTTGAGCAGGTCAGGAAACTGGCCGAAGCCCTGGAATCGTATGCGTCGCATCTCGAATCGTCCTTCGTCCAGGTCAAACTCCCGCCCACGGCGCCCAACGCGAAAGTCTCACCCTCGTTCGACATCTCGCCCTCCTACGTCACCAAGCTCGACAACGAATTCACACGCGTATACGAGGAATACACAAAGCGCCTAAACACAGTCCAGGTCATCTGCCAGGAGATCATACAGCTTTGGGCAGAACTCGGCACACCACAAGCGCAAACGGACAGCGCAATCGTGCAATGTCATCGTGACGCGCCTGAACAACTCGGTCTGCACAAGGACGATCTCGCGCAATTGAACGCGAAGAAGGAGCGACTTGTCGAGGAGAAGCGCGGTCGCGAACGACGATTAGGGCAGCTGCGCACAACCATCGAGGAGCTCTGGGATCGCCTGGGTATTGAGGAGCGCGAGCGCAAGCAATTTCTCACCAATAACCGCGGATGTGGACTGCGCACCATCAACGAGTATGAGGATGAGCTGGCCAGATTGAACGAGCTCAAGCGCCAGAACCTACACTTGTTTGTCGAAGAGGCGCGCGTTCAACTCCAGGAACTATGGGACGCCCTTTACTTCTCTGAAGAAGAGATGCTCGACTTCACACCCGCCTTCTCCGACGTCTGCAGTGACGCTCTACTCGCCGCCCACGAATCCGAAATCGCACGTCTCGAAGCGCTCAAGGAGCAACGGCTGCCTATACTCCAGAAGATCGATCGTCACCGCGAGCTTATTCAGGAACGCGATGAGCTTGCACAATCGAGCCAGGACGCAACCCGTCTGATGGCGCGCGGTAACAAGGGCGAGAGACGCGACCCGGGCAAGCTCCTGCGCGAAGAGAAGATGCGGAAGCGCATCGCAAAGGAGCTGCCCAAGATTGAAACAGTAAGTTACCTCAGTCAAGGAGCAGGAATTGAGCTAACACATCACAGGATCTGAGAGTCACCCTCGAGAGCTGGGAAGACGAATACGGACGTCCTTTCCTTGTCCACGGCAACCGATACCTGGACGAACTATACGCAGCCGCGCAAAAGGCAGCCCCACCACCTCGCGCGAAGACACCCTCGAACAGCGGTATGCCTACCAAACCAGCGACCGTTGGCAGAGCCTCAGCAGCGCCTAGCCGCGCCGGAACAGTTCGTGGTGCGCCACCCAGCCGATCAAAGACCCCCGTATCGAACTTTGGCCAGAGCGCTTCCGCAGCAAGCATGTCCCGTAGCACTTTCGCGCAATCGGTTGGTCCCAACTTTGGTGCTTCGGTGTCGGCATCTGCCCAAAAGAGCCCTTCCAAGATTCCTTCTCGTGCGGGACTGAATGGCACAACAAACGGCAGGAGCTCACCTGAGAAGCGACCACAACTCTCACGAGAAGATTCGGCCACGATGCGCAAGATGGCGCCACCTATGGCTCCTCCCCCACGTATGAAAGATCTGTTCGTCCCTCCAGAGCCATCACCAATGGAGACACCGATGAACCGCTTCGAGTTCAACCGTGGAGACCGCAGTGAAAGCATCGTGCGCAACGTACAACCAGAGGACCCTTACGACGACCGATCGTTCATGGGACGCACTATGAGAGGAGGCTACACACCCACCTACCCACCGCCATCACTATCATCCGCTAGCAGTCGACAAATATCACAAACCTCATCCACAGGCACAGCCGCTACAGGCATGACCATGCAATCCGGCTCCGAAAACTGGGAAACGTTTAGTGAACAGTCCGACGAGGTACCGGAGGAAGAAGTCGACTTCCACGCCTACCGGCGGCAGATGAAGCGCTACACACCCGAGGGCGGCCATGTCGCCAGCCCGGGTAGAATCCAAGGCAAGAAGGTCCGCGGTATACGGAGCGTCGACACGGGCGAACTGTTAACCGAGCAGGACGGTCGTATGGTACGCGTGATCGAAGGCTCAGAAGCGGGCTGGACGACTGACGGCGACGGGTACTGAGTAAAGTACCCTATCCACTTGGACACTTTCTTCTCATGTCGACACGACTGCATGGCTTTCATGCTCCACGACGCTTATACCGCCACGGCCGTTCATCACTTTCCGGCTCACCGAGCCCTGTTAATTGCTCTTGCTTAATTCGTGTGTGCATACTTTGCGGCTCGGCGTTACTGGACCCTGAAAATTTTCTCTTCTTGTCGACTCATCCTCGCTGCCGCAACGGCACGCACGAGCGGCTGGGATACTCGCCACGCTATGCCACGTACTTAGAGTACGTTGGACAGGGTAGTGCGCTGCATGTCACTTCCCGCAATGCGACCGGTGCGGCGCCTGTTTTGGGTAACGCAGCATGTACCTGCCCAGGTGGCTCTCTTATTTCTTCAGATCACTTGCTTCTTTTTCAGCGGTAGGGTGGTGGATCATCCGGCGTTGGCGACCCTCGGAAGCGTATATCTGGATAGCGCGCCATGCGCTACCTTGCTTGTGTCTCGTTTGCGCGTTTTGCATGTTCAAATTTCCCTTGTGCGAGGATGAAGCGAGAGAAGTGTGCATAAGGCTTCCTTCCTGTGAGTGGAAGGCAGATCTGTGTGTTGGCGAGGAGACGTGTACTATTACGATTGAACAGAATCCAGAACATTGCAAAAACTTGTTCGACCATGCCGTGACCGATGCAGGAAGATGCTGAAATTTGTAATGCATTAGACGCCTACAAAGAAGTAATATATCATCAACTTTATTGCATACTATGCCTAGAGGAATACATACTCCTGTATACAATGTCTAGATTAGCGAAAGGCGGTCACGTAGGCGGCAAGCAACACCAACTCGTGCCTTCCTGTGCGAGTAAAGATGATTGACATGAAACAATGCAAGCGCACAATGGCGGGTCGGTGCCGAGGGCCAAGACGATGACGGGAAGCTTGGGTACACGATAGATGGTCACTCCGTTCCTTCCTCTTTCGCACAAGAGATCCCTTAAGCTCGAAGCAGCAGGTGCAGTTACCGTGACAGAGCTCTATTATGCAAGGCCGTTGGGGAGCCTCAATCGCGAACTAAATTCTCACAAGGACACGTGCCTTTCGTTCTACCTACCGTGAACTATTCACCAAGGCCACGACATGACGACAATGACGAAGTTGGTGTCCAGAAAAGGGCCGGTATGGGAAGTGTGTAGAGTGGCACAGTGGGAATAGACTTTCTCTCCACTCCACATCCACCATGCTTTTCTTGCTCGACAGTGGAGGGCAGCGGGCATGCACCCCGCAGGAATCCGCGGCCTAGCGTGCGAGACGGCGCCGGGCTGCACGACACATGGTGGAAGTGGTTAGATGGAGTTAGAGGCAGGTAGCGAGATATTGGCACAGAGATAAGGATAGCACATCTGACAGGCCCGGAGCGATTCCACACAAGCCAACCGTGACCGGAAGGCAGGCAGGCATGCGACCGTCTTGCCGCGGGGAGCGCTGCGTGCATACAGACTCCTAGCTGCAAGCCACGTTACAGTCATCGTAGATGCCTAGCAGATGGGAGGTGCGGGTGAAGGAGTCATGATGACGAGAAGTGCGCTAGTGTGAGTTTGTCTGACTTTTGAGTGAATGCTAAGACTCGATCTCTTCATGTGATGGCGCGCAACGTGCTGGTTCGTATGTAAAAGGATGGCTTCCAGAAGACGGCCGGCGTGGGGCGAGGACGCGACAGGGCTGACGGAGGCGGAGGTGGCGGCTAGGGCCAATCAGGTGATGCCCGAAGGCGATCACGACTGCTCGAGTGTTGTGCATGCGGGACCGACCGGGGCTGAAAGCTGGTACTGTATGCTCGTGTGAAGCGTGATCAGCGCAGCAGTGGGCGTGGCGCTGGCAGAAGGCCACGCAGTCTTATCCTCAGCCGCCAGTATCTGGTCCGAGAAACGTGCCTGGATGCGAGCTGGCCTGGGTGTGTGCTTTTGGTGTCTTGTCTTGATAGGGAGGCTGCCGACAGGAGACCTCCCACGCTGCTTGCCCTTATTACTTATCGCCGCCCGATAACCCTGAGACCCCAACGTCGTCATCCTCCCTTATCACCACCGAAGAACCGCCTCGAGTCCACCACCATAGTATTTACTTCTTCATAGCATCCTCGCCTTTTTGGACTTTGCCTACCCTCGTGTGCGAAAGCAGAGCAGTGCGTCGGCGATCTTCGGCACACGTAAACCCTGTAGTCTCATGTCGCCCGCGACCTGCCCTTGCAGACCCGTCCAATCGCCAACCAGCAATAACGTAAAGAAATCCGACGGCCGCACGTCACATCCAGCCTAGCCAGCACCAGCCGTACCTGGATCGTCCCAGCTGTTAGTCACGGGGAAAACGCCTTCAGGGCCCAAGCCGACGATAATGATGTACTCGCCAAGGTCCTTTCCCTACCTCCAGCACTCGTCTCCGCCATCCTCACGCACCTCCCGCTCCAGGCCTGAAAAGATGGGCACGCGAACGCGATCCAGTCCCTCTCCGAGAAGTGTCATGCCAGTCACTGTGGGAACCAACACGCAATCTATGAATAAGAACGGGTCCCTCTCACATACCGAGGCTACAACCATGTCACAGCCCGTCGTTATTCCTCCCCGAACGCCCATCAAGTCGGCAACTTCAATCCAGACTGTGAGAATGAGGGGACACAATGGAGGCAGACCGTCTCGCAATTCACAGAGCCACGATGCGAAAGCATTACCACCGGCTGTTGCAGCCTTGCTGGCCGTTACCGCTATCCCCAAGATGCCCACCCGCCGACGACCACGCACTACTACCGAACGGAGGATATCCATGGACGAGTTGATACAGGAGTGGAAGCAGGACGATTCCGACACTCCGCCCTCACTTGTCGGCTCGCCCATGGATCTGCTCCTTGGTCGCGTGGACGAGTCGGACGATGAGTACAACAGCGTCTTGAGCATGGAGCAAGAGAAGGGCTCTTTCCTGACATCTAGGTCCATCTCGAGCGACTCGATATCCACCCTACCGCCTTCCCTGGACTTCGAAGACCCCTCGTTCGCGTCGCATTGGGACAATCTCAGTACACCAGATTCCCTGGGCAGAAAGTCACTGCCAGAGCGCAGGGAGAAGATTGTCTCTTCACCACCAAAGGAGGACTGTGTCTTGGACCATCCACTGCTTCATTTTGGCCCGGACGAATGCGAGGACATTATTGCGACAGACATCAACGAGACTGTCACTCCAGTACCTTCGAACGAACGATTCAGGTCATTCAAGTCAAACCTGACTGCATCACTCCAAGCACTCAAGTCAGCCGCCAAGTCCTTCTCCAACTTCACAGCTCCCAGCGTTCCGCCGGATGACTTCCTCACTCGGTCGTTGCTGGCACCCAACTACACAAGCGAGATGCGACCGAAACACGTCGAAGGCCTGCCGTCACCCGAATTGCGACGATACCTCAACCCACAGCCCTCACCAATCTCACCGACTGAATTGTCAATGCATTTACACGACTCTCTTACCCTCGATGCCGACGCCGAACCCCACGCGCCGATGATCCAAATGCAGACATACGAACGCCGAGGGCGATCACAAAAGTCGCGCCGGAGTCGCTCCACGGATCCCTTTTCCGAAGCAGGACGCGTCCTGTCAACCGACGCACCTACCGTCCGGCAGCGCGAGCCACGCGAGAATAGCGACTTTCTACGTGTCATTGTGCTCGAAATGAACATGCGCCGCGTGGGCAAGCTCGACACAAAGGCCGTCGGCAAGGCGCGTATTTGGTTGCCGCCAAGAAAGCCTGGGTCTAGCAAAGCACCTTCCCTTCACGGCGCAAGCGGTGTGCCGCTTAGATGGACTCCCGTTACCGCTGCGTGAATGCGCTACGGCTAGCAATTTCATCAGGCCGTCTTGTTGCGTCAACAGGCTGGGTTGGGCATGCACGCAGCACTCGGTACGGTACCCTCGACACGTTCACCACGAGCACGACACGAGCATGTCGCATGCATGCATGCAAGCATGTCGTGTCGAGCTCCACCCACGTAGCGCATCGCAAATGTGCAGGCAGGAATTCGATCCTTGGTCTTTGGCAGACGCGCCATGCAGCCCTGTCAAGCTCGACGATCCCGGATTCAGAGTCTCCGAGGATCGCATCACCTGCCTTGGCATAGCGCGCGCTCGCTCGCGGATTCTAGTGGAGCCGCCAATCGAGCAGAATTCCTGGTCTTGGTATAGGACAACGTCACAGCCCGCACCGTTGGATCTGGCTGCGGATACTCGCGACATGGGGTCGCACGTGTCGTGGATATCTCTGGTCGCGAGACATCGTCAAAGCAAGTTTCTCGACCAAGGAGTCAAGTCGGTCATGGGAAGGTTGGCCGCGCGAGGTCGCTCGGCGATACGCACGTCTCGGTGGTTCATCGGGACCCGTGACCTGCTTTTCCACACTCACACGACACACGGTTGCGGAACAAGACGTCACACGTCGCATACACGCAGGCGTCGCCTGTTTCCGCTGCGCAACGGTCGCCCATACTCCACCTTCCGTCCGGTGAATGACCTGTCCCCGTCACGATAACTCGCTTGCGCAAAAGCTGGGGACCTTTCTCACGATGCCACTTTCGCAAGTCCCGTCCCCACCCGGCATCCGCAATGCCGGGTCTCGCCGATAGACGCCCGTCCGCCAGGTTCGACTCGCGACACGGTGGGGGTACACGAACCGGCACATTCGTGTTACATGTTTGTATCGAGCAAATGGCTTGCCCGAAGGCCTACGAGACATGTCCGAGGCGGCTATGAGCTGATTTTTTCTTTCCGTTCGTTTTTCTTCTCTATATTGTCGTGCGCATATTAGCGGAGCCTCGCGGCATTTGCCAGATTATCCATTTTCTTTTTTCTCACGTCAGATCTTTTCTTTCCGCGGTTTTCGAAGCATGGGGCATGGGTACCGGCGTTTGCGCGATGGGAGCATACGACGGTCAAGCGCTGACCGCAAGAATTTTCTCTCTTTTCTTTTTGACAGTCCATCAGTCAATG